AAAAAAAAAAAAAAGACTGGGCTCTGATAAGGCTCTCAAGAACTGGGAATAACTTAAAGGGAAAGCAAGCCAAAGCCAGTGTGTCCAATCTACAGTTTAAATTTTTTATTGTTGTGGTTTGGCTTTCCAAGGTGTAGACCCTCATCTTGAGGTCTCCTAAACTAGTTTATTACTGCGGTGGGAAAACTGTTCTGGTTGGAAATTACCCTCTTTGGAGAGAGACAAAGTATGTTTTCCTGGCGTCTCAAAAGGATCTCAGCGTGACTGTGGCCTCAGGTGCAATCCCCGTATCAGTCTTAACAGGTTTTCTGTTTTTTAAAGTGGCCCCACAAAGCAGACAAAGTAATTGCCCTGCTTGTGGTTCATAAATAATATCTGGCAAAATTCATGGAGAATCTGTGCTGCAGGTGAATGAGCATGAAGTGGAAATGGAGTCTGATGGCCAGAAATGAAGTCTCTCCATTTCTGGAATTGTTCACATTTTCCAGAATGATTTATTTCTGTTTGTTGGAAAGGGCTTTAAAAGAACTTACAAAGTTACATGAAAAAAAAAAATTCCCTTTTAAGAAAAACTTTCGTAAAATAGCAAAATCTCTAGATCTTGGGATTGCTTAACGCTCTTCCACCCAGAGAATCAAATAATACTTAAACAATTTTATTTTTTCTTGGCTCATATTCTCTCCTTTTTATTTTTACTCATGACTGGGATCAGATGTAGTTTGAAAAAGAAATCTTGTTAAATGTTTTCATTTGGTTTGCTACATTTTATTATTCAACATTTCTTCATTTCTCAGAAAAACAAAATCACTGGTGTCCAGGACGAACCCTTACAGAGCACGAACCCATCACTTATTTTCCTCTTGTCTTGTTGCTGAACATAATTAAACAACGGTGCATTTACCTTGTTTACATCTTCAGAACCAGGCTTTACACACGCGTAGTCAGTGTCTCATTGACTAAGTAACTTTGATATTTAAACAAATTTTTAAAAGTTTGTTATTGTTTATTCCCTGCATTTCAGAGCTTATTGTTTGCTTTTTCTACTAAACAAGTGCCCCAACTACATTGTTTTTCAGGATTTTTCCTTGGTAAAAGCAAAGCAAAAAGAAATTATGGTTTGTTATAAGAATTTTTCTACAGAGTGTAGTAAAATGGAATAAATGAATTTATGCTACTTTGAGTTTAGAGGTTATTCTTAACACTGGTTGAGAAACATGGAGCAGCTTTTCTCTTCAAAATCTGGAACTGAATGAAACCCGTGGACTAACCTGACAGTAGTAAACTGTAGTGCAGCCAAAGCAAACTAGATTTCCAAGTCAGCCCTTAGTCATGATCTGGTTGTTGTTTTTTGTGCCTTTCCTGGATTTTGTGACCTTCACTGGCATCTCTATCTTACGGTGTTAGCCTTCTGCCATTTTGGAGGCTGTAAGTCTCTCAGTGGGCAGAATATATTTTATCTTGTCATCCAGGGCAAATCAGCTCAGTATACTGTTCTATGTGTCAGTGTTTTCATCTACTGTGTTCAGGACCCTTGGAACTTTAGCTCAGTGTTGTTTCAGATAGTTAAATCTTTCTTTAACCTAATGACTTCAGTTTGTCTTTCAAAATGCTTTTAAGTAAAAAGCTGTTAATGAAAAAAATTAAATCACTATTTTACTTGGATAAGTTATGAATTCTATTTTATCTCACTCTGTCTACCCAATGATACTTCACAGGCAGAAAAGTAAGTCAATTAAGCATTGAAAGCAAGTGTCTGTGCAATTAGAAAATAAGCAGTTTGCACATAAACTTATAGCATGAATGTTTACTTTTTTTCCTGAAACATTAAAAATATAATCAGTCGATTAGAAGTATATAATTAGGTGGTTTTAATTCAGAGTTTCTGCATTATTTTTTGAAACCCATTTTTTCAGGATTATGAAGTCTTGCATGCAGAGCATACTTAAAAAGTTAACACAGAAAAGCACCTTCAACTCAAGAGTGCTTCAAAAATGGCACATGCACAGGACAGATCAAAGGGCTACCTCTTCTGGCTTTGTCCAAATACACAGCACGATTTAATCCTTTGTTATATAGTCTCTGGCTAGAAACTTGTGTTGAGGAAATGGGTTTTACTTTGTCTGGAACAATGTTAGATTTACTTGGGATATTTGAGCTAACAGATGGTTATTTTAAAAAATCGTTGACAAACGTGATGTGAGACCTGAGCAAACAGCATATCAGATGGCTGCTGTGTGGGCTGTGTGTAGTTTTAGCGTCTTACAAGTTCAGATTTTAGTATTTTCTTAATTCTAAAAAATGTGCCAATAAATCAGGGGAATGGCATTCCAACTTGAAATGGCATTAGATCAAAGAGCAGAGAGAGATTTGTTACATTTCACATCTAGTATTAGGGGACTTCAAAAGACACTATTTCACTCTGTGAAAACCAAAGGAGGATGATAAACACAGTTATTTTTTTTAGAAAAATAATTGGTAAGAAAACACGATTATGGTTTTTAAATTATGAGAAGATAAAAGCACAAACCCAAGTGCGAAAGACAAATGATAGAAATCTATAGGGAAGTAAAAGAACCAGATGATAGGGCTGGATGTGACAGGAAGATAAAGGAACAATTGTATGATACGACTCCAGGTTTGCGTGGCCAGTATGCTGTCCCACATACAGCAGAGGGGTGAACACAGTCTTGTTTTTCAGGGACTTGCCCCGAGTTACTTCCCAAATCTATATAAATATATGAAACTACAATTAGCATGAATTGGTTTTTTTCTTGAGCTGGCATCATATATACCAATAGATATGTAAGCTTTAAAGAAACTTTTATTTTAAAAAATTAAATTGCTCATAAACTGGTTTAGTGCCCATCAAGGTGAGTATCCAAACACTGTTAAAATTTATTTCGCTTTTTATAATGAAATTGCAGTGGTAGAACTGATTGTGGGTCATTTTCCCTCCTGATTGAAAACAGACACAGAGGATGGTGAAAAGTAGATTAATATTAAGAGCAAACTCCATTTGGAGACGTGAAAGCCACTGTTGCCAATACGTAAATTTGTATCTTATGTTAAGAAAAAGCATCCAACACTTACAAAGAAGGGAATGGAGGTTTGCATGTTCTTTCAACATCATACTGAGCCCAGTCTAACAGATCCACCCAAGGACTATTTAATTCTGTTGTTTGGGACCCAGACCAAGGTTATATGAACTTGTCCAGTTTTGTCCAGAGTACATGCAAATGAATTGTCTAATAGAAAAGATAATCCCAAAGGTTACTGTTTTATTGCCCTCCAGAACAATAACCAGTTTTGCACCTAACTCTACAACTTGAATTCTTAAACTGAATTCTTTCTGTGTTGCCAACAAATACTCAGTTCTTCAAATGTTCTCTTAGCAGCCTCTGGGGTTCCTTCATAGATGAGTTTAACATTTGCCATGATTTCATTCAGTATTCTTTTTAACAAATATTATTTTTTTATTTTATGTGTATGTGTGTATTGCCTTCGTGTAGGTAAGTGCACCCGTGTCATGCAATGCCCGTGGAGGACAGAAGAGGCTCTTGGATACCCTGGGACTGGAGTTATGGACAGTTGTTAGCTGCCTTGTGGGTCCTGGGATTTGAACCTCGGTCTTCTGCAAGAACAGTGTTCTTAACCACTGAGCCATCTCTCCAGCCCTTCATTCAGTATTCTTATTAGAGTCATATTTAACTTAATGTTTTTTATATTTAACAATGTTTTTAACAATCAACACTTTATCATGGAGCTTATAATTACACATACTATTTTTATCAGGAAGGAGAGTGAAGAGGGACCCTAGGTGTCTGTTTTCCTGTTGCCTATTTTTAAAAAATATTCAGCGGTTCTATTCAGATCATGTGGGTTTAATTGTATACCAGCTAAAGCTGGGAATACAGGGAAAACC